TCTTTCAAATCTCAGCCTTGTCATCAACTTCATTTCTCTTGCAGTTGTTAATGCGAATAAGGAGATTTGTATATTAACATTCGTCTACCTCTCTAAGTCACTGAATCAAAACAAGAATTTTGTCAACTTCCCATTCTTGTTCTTCCCACAAAACACAACCCCAAGTGGTTGATGTATAATCTCCCCATCTTCATAATTGTCAATATTGATCTTCCCCTTCAGTGGAGATTGGGGTACTTTCGAGGGCTTATTGACGGCTAAAGCAAGCTAAATATTAGTAACTGCTAGGCAATCGTAATAGATGTCCATGAAAACCTTGATATAAGCAAAACCAACAATGAAGTCATCCTTGTTTGTTTCTGTCAGCTTCGAAACATCCACATTACTTAAAATCCTTGTCACAGTGACCAAGTCATTTAAGTTCATCAGTGGGAGATCAGCAATCAAAAATTTACAAACTACATTGTTTGCTCTGAGAACCACATAGCGAAAGTTTTGTAGAATGTCTTCAAACAAATTTTCTCGCATAATTGTCATCACCTTCACAATCTTTACTGATGACCAAACTTCTTCTTCGTTTTTCCCCAATACTGCATGAAAGCGTATCTTCATCCTTTTGAACTCTTCTTTATCTTTAAAGTTTTCAATGATCTTGAACTGGGAAGATGTGAAAAACATGTGGTTTATTGGGAAGTCAAGTTGATTGAAATTAGTGTTCTCAACATCATAGCTCTTCTTAGGCACTTTGCAAAAATAATCTTTTAGCCCAATCGAAACAATGTCCTATATCGTTTCGTAACACCACTGCTTGTTGGGATCACCCTTACTCAAGCCATGTGGGTCATTTTGTATTCATCTCACTATGCTGTTGTTTTGCCTTTGTTTTTTGATTTCCATAGCTTGCTGTTTATTTTTCTCTTCTTCAGAAAGAACCACTGAGATAGCTTTCCCTTTATCACCTTGATCATCTTTCGAATATGGTGGCATAAAACAAGAACTTTAACCTTTAACTCCTTCGTTTATTATGATCCATTTTCTTAATGGTCTTGTTGTTGAAGTTGTGGTCAGTGAGATAGGAAGTGAAGTCGACATTTGAATCGAAATCACTTTTCCAACAACAACTCCTTTCTCAGAATCCTTCGAAGACCCAACACCTCCACATCCTTTATCTCCCCCTTGTGACACTTGCCTAGCAGGTGGAGCATTCGTTGGTAATTGAAGAACCAACTCAAGGATGGGAGTAAGCTCTGATTTGATATTAGTCTAAATGGTCGAAATCAACTGATAAAATGATTTTTGAGAAACAAAGGATTGATTCGAAATATTAGCTTTCAAAATTGATTCCTTAATATTGGATAAAAGTTCTTCCAGCTTTGCGAACACCTGGGAATCCTTCTCCGATTCTACTTCAAGCTTGGTCGAATAGTAAGTATTAAAATCGACCAACTTTGTGATAGCATCTGTAATAACATCAACTTTCCTATGTAACATAGCATAATTTTCTCCACCTTTTCAACCTCTTTAGCCATCTCCAACTCGGGTTACACCACCTTAAGATCCACATATTCTTTCATGTTCTTCACTTGTTCAACAAAAACATTAATAAGTTCCTTGGAAACATCACGAAGCTTCTGAATTTTATAATCAAAGCTTCTGGAGTGAACAACTAACCTTTCGACCAGTTTTTGTTCAAGGCTTTCAACTAAGCTTCTAAAACGATTCTCCTGAGACTTCAACAAGTGCTCCATCTCTACCTCAGTATTGAAGTTCCTTCCCCCATTATCTGCTTGTATTTGAAAAGGAGAATTGATTTTGTTGTTGAGGTTTTTAAATTGTTTACCTGACATGATCATGTTATCAGGCACATTATCCTCGTCTGGGTTAAACTGAAAATCAGCAAAAGACACCATGATCCCTTCATCACTTGATTTTTCTTCTTGAACCACTCTCTCATCTTTAGTAGGTTGAGAAGAGAAAAGGTTGGTTATTGGTTTATGCATAATTGTGGAGTATGTTGGTGAAATGGTTGAAACTAGAAGTGAAGTTAGGATGGGTGATGAAAGTGGTGGTAAGTAAGTGAATGTTTCGAATGTAGGAGTTCTGAGGGTAGATGAGAATATTATTGAAGTAGGAATGGTTGATATTTCAATAGTAGAAGTAACAGGGTGTATGCATCCCTTCACCCATGTTGACATTTGTGTCCTTATTAGATAAGTTCACAGGGATAGCTGGAGTTCGAACCTCCTCCATATAGGACTCAATATGCGAAACCCCGGGTGGTATGACCTTAGTCTTCTCAGGGATGGATGTAGATGTTTGATCATTCAAATTGGTGTTTGTATCCATATTAGATATGTTTATAGTGACACCAGGATCTCCCGTCTCCTTGAAATTCGACTTGATAGGAGAATCCCTTCGAGGTGACCCAAACCTAGAATCATCATGTCGATTATCCCTACTATCACTATCATTATCAGTTTTGACAATGACTTGATCAGGGGGATCTTGATGCTTTCTTTTCTTTTGTTGCAATTTCTAAGCCATATTGAATGCTTGTCGTTTCTTCGAGGTCGGAGAGATAGGAACATGAACTTCTCTAAACAACACACCTCTTCTGTTGAATTCAGGCTTTCTCATCTTCTTGATACCCTTATGAGAAGAAAGAGTATGAAAAGAATCAACCATGTGTTTGCTCAGTTGTTTAAATTTCAGATTCTTGGACAGATCGCCTGACTGGAGAATGATGAGGCCTCTTAGCTGGTTTCTTGGTACGCTTGAGAATATCCGTTTTTGAAGTAATAATTTATTTAGAAACCTCCTCCACCACATTTGGTGGTTTCTTAGTCTACTTCTTCTTCTTCGGTACTTTAGCAGCTATTGAAGAACCCTCAACCCCTTTCGATAGAAGAACACCAATCGAAACAGTAGAATCAGTTGATGCCAAATATTGAACAAGCAGTAGATTTTGTGGATCAACACGTATTAGCATCACATATGGAATACGAGAAACATTAGGAAAGATGGTTGGATCATCAACAACAACTCGTGGAGCAGCCATCATCGAATATTCTGCAGTTTTGACACCAAAGGGAACCAAAATCCCTTCTTGTTGATAAACCTCCTTTAGAATCAAACACCAGTATCGATCACACAAAACACCATTTGTCAAATTGGTATGAGTAATAGTTGTGCCAAATTCTTCCTAGAGATATGTGGTATAATCCACATCGAGACCATAGTAAATCCCAACGAGAATGGGATAAATTTCTAATTTGGCTTTATCTAACCTTGAACTTCGACCGGTCAAGCATCTTAAGATGATTCCAAATAGAAAACTCCATATACAGGGTAGACTTGACTTTTTAAAATGATTAATTCCATTCAGAACAGGTTAATGTTCCATCTCATTGAACATGCGAAGCACTTGTTCATTATTAACCTCATAGAAAGTACATGAGACAGACAACTTCATGATTTGAACAAAGTGTTTCGTGGTGAGCTTTCTTATCTTGGAACTCTTCAGTTGAAACGTGACTACTTTCGTAGTTTTATGGAACATTGTTGTGGAACCAACAAGAGAAATCCAAGTCATGGGAATTGAAAACGAAGATGATAACAAAGTGGATAGAACAAAGTTATTTAGGGTCTGAATCAGCATGTGTAATTGCTCTGGATAGTGATCCACCGTTGGCAGCAATCGTAGATTCATACTCTAAATCTTCATGAGAGGTGAGATTTCTTATTCATTAGTGGTGTTTGTAGGATCAACATTGGTTTGAGGAGCAACCATTGTCGTGATTGCAAGGATTGTTGAAGACGATGAACAGTTGGTAATTTTTGGAAATTTTTTCTGAGAGCATAAAGTTTGAGTAGGGATGAGCTTTAGAACCGGACCGTTTCAGAATCGGAACCGGTTTTCCTATATTATAAGAACCAGGAACTGGACCGCCGGTTCTAACATCGGTTCCGGTTCCGGTCCTGGTTTTCCGGTTATTTTTTCAAATTAGAATAGGTTGAAATGTCGTAGACGATATGTTATCTTCCGGAGCTTGTAAATGATTCAATATTTAACCAAAGTATGAGTTTTTATATTACAAATTGAATTACAAACACTAAGTTACATGATGAAAAATGAATCAAGTAATTCCGACTTCATATGAACGAGTTATGCGTATTTTAAAAGCAGGAAAGATTCTAAAAAAAATGTTGAAACAAAAAATATGCAACATTGATATGTTGTCTTACGGGGTCTATAGCTGATTGAGTATCTAACCAAAATATGTGTTTGTACAGTCTAAAATGAAGTACAAACACTAAATTACATGCTAGAAAAAAAAGTAATTCCAACGTCATATGAATGAGTTATGCACATTTAAAAAAACGGAACAAATTCAAAAAAAACAAAAAAAAAAGTGTTGAAATATAAAAAACACAACATCAACATTCTTTCTTTCGGGGCATGTGTTTGATTCAATATCAAACCAAAATACATGTTTGTACAGCAAAAAATGAATTACAAACTCCAAATTACATGTTGGAAAAAAATCACCTAATTCCGACTTCATATGAGTGAGTTATGCACATTTAAAAAAAATGTCTAAATGGTTTTGGTTTTTGAACTAGGACCGGTTTTCATAAAAATGGAGAACCGGTAACTGGACCTTTTTACCAATTCCGGTTCCGGTTCCGGTTCTATGCCAGTCCGGTTCCGGTTCCAGCGGTTCTAATGCTCATCCTTAAGTCAGAGAATGATACTACCAATTTCCTTATATAATATATGGTATTTTTAAATTTGAACCGGTTACCAATAATACACCGCCACATATTGCATTGGTCTCTTAACCGACACCATAAAAAGCTTCACATCTTAAAAAGTGATCATCATGTTTTCCTAGAATCTTGTTAAAATCTTGAACCATCACTTCCATCAGATCTTTTGGTGTTTCCAACCGGATAAGAATCGCTACTTATTTCAAACTGTAAGCAAGGACATCTTGTTGTGTCGAAACCAAGAGATTGTATTTCCTTTGCATTGAGGTTAGGCTCATTCACTTTTAGGATTTGAAAGCAAAATCATATGCTAGATTTTGCGAAATCTTGGTTTTAAGTTGGTATTACCCAAAACCTAAAGGATTCCAGTGCAATTGTGTGCTAAAGAATGGGTGAGAAGCAAATTTAAAAAAAATGTGGGTTTTGTTATATCAAATTTCATTTCATACAAAAGCAGTTGCATCCTAGGCAAAGATCTCTTCATTCGACATCAAGATAGAGATGACGAACTGCTTGTGTGGTTCCCATGAAATACAATCGAATACTCATTGATGAGAATTAAAGGGATTCTTTTTCATTGGTTTCAAAAGGTAGTATCAATTTTGCTCAACACCACAACTTAACATAAGTGTGAGTTAATTGAACAAAATTACTTGGAAGATTGGTGTAGTCAATAACAAGTATGGTTGGATATTATTGTAGTAACAAGAAATCAGAAACATCTTCAGACGGAAATCACATTCCAAAAATTAAGAATTGGAACTTGTTGGGAAAAAATATCTTGGTTTTAGAACATTTTATGAAGATCACGCAAGTCGAATGAAATTTGATTTTGAATATCGAAAAGGTACTAAAACAAGTGTTTCGTTATAATCTTGAACAAAATTATTCATCGTCAATTCCTTGATAGTTGGGATTTTTGGGTTTCACCATCATCACAGGAGAATGACTCAGGAGTCAGGATCATAAATACAGAGTGGTACCATATCTACATTCTAGTTGGTTTCGACTAGAGATGTCAAGGATAGGCCGTGAAGTGTGTGATCATGAAAGAAATTCCGGTGAAAAAGATTGTGTTTAAGAACTCATTGTACCTCTGCTAAATATATGGACTTTGCAGAAATCTCTTTACTCAACATGAGAAGAGAAAACTAGCTCTTCGACTAAGGTGAATATAGCCTAATTGGTAAGAAACTTTCATATTGAGAGTTCCATTAAGGCTTCGAACACGTAAATTCTATGAGGCTTGAGGTCAACATACGTCATCATGCTTCTAGGGACACTTAACTAGGACATTAGTTCGAATGAAAACCTATTCCCTTAATAGATATGATCATTAAGCATGCACATTAGCAATACGTTGTTACAGTGAGACACAAATTGTTAAACAAAATATGAAATAAAAAACAAGAAAATCTTTTTGGATTTTTGTGTTTTTGGAATTCAAATACAAAAATAAGAAAATATTTTTGAATTTTTATTTTTGGAAATAAAATACAAAAATAAGAAATTCTTTTTGGAATTTTGATATTTGAAATAAAACAAACAAAAACAAACTTATCAAATGTTACCAAGTGATGTTCGACCAAGTAAGTATCAACCCACAGGGATGTTGCTCATCGAACAACTTCCTCCCATAAAAAGCAAGTTGAGATCGAAATGGTTTAGAGGAAAGTCGAATGCGAACACTGAACCGAAACAGTAACCTCTGAACAATTCAAAAAAGCACCAATCAAAGAGATACCTTTTTGATCCAGAAGAACCTGGTACATAACTTGCTTCGGTCATCCCTGATCCATTTAACATCCTTAAGAATGACTTCTCATCTAAAGGTTTTGTAAAAACATCTGCAAGTTGATCCATTGTTTTCACAAATGGACATCGATGTTCCCATCTTCTACATTGTCTTTTATGAAGTGATATGAAGAGCAACATGTTTGGTTTTTGAATGTTGGACTGGATTATGGCAGATATGAATGACACTTTGTGAGTCACAATAAAAAGGAATTTTCTTTATATCGATTGCATAATCACGTAGTTGAGTTTGTATCCAAATAACATGTGATGTGTATTATCACACCCCTGAATCGAGCGACTTTGTGACTGGTGTGGCTCCGAGTTTCAATTCGATTCTAAATTCAACTTTTTGTTCGGGGGGTACTCCCGGGAGGTCTTCGGGAAACACGTCGTGGAAATTACATACCTCCGGGATGTATTTAATGTTCTTCAC